TCCAGGGATCAAACCCAGGTCCCTGCGTCTGCCTAAGCAGGCACTTTAATCCCCTGAGCTATCTGGCTGGCCCTTATAAGATCTTTTTGGACATAGGAACATACCATATTCCCATGCTTCTTTGTTTTATCCCCCATGGTTTCTTGGGAACTCAAAAAAAAGGCCAATAGGGTAAATTAATTTCTATTTCTTCTAAATTTTCTTTAGGATGACCTTGATCTGACAGCTTCATGTCATGCTAAGTCCTTCCAACTGGCAAAACCTCAGAAATGGAACCAGGCAGACCCATACTCTCAGCAGGAGGAGATCCAGCAGCGTACAGAAGAGGCACTGCGGGAGCTCTTCCAGCATGTTCACAGTCTGCCCGAGTCAGCGAAGAAGAAGCAACTTATTAGACAGGTGCCTGCAGGCAGGAGAATAGTGGTGGGCTAGAGATCTGACGTCTTGGTAGCGTCGCCAGAGAATATTGTTAAGGACCTCGATTAGGTTCTGACTCCCACTGGGACAGACTCCCACTGGCTCAGCCAAGAGAGTGAGCTTGTGTCAGACTCTCAGTTCCCTCAGCCCTGCTGGAGAAAGGATGGGGGTCTTGAATTTCTCCATTAAACAGGAGGTTCCAGGAGTGGTTAAAGTGTCTCTAAGTTTGGTCACACAGTACAGCAAGTTTACTTAGCAAGAATCAGGAGTTCCAGTATATTGTTTCAAATTTGAAACACTGACTTTCCCTGGCAAATAACGACCTTCTTTCTGAGTCAGTTTTCTTATTTAGAGATATAGTACATGGAGTGACTGGCAAGTTGTAACTGTTACTAATAGATTGTGTGCAGTTGTAAAGGCCTACAAATCAAGGTCCCAGTCTGATACTATAATGTAGGAAGGAATTCTTCTGAGTAAGTTTATCTATTTTGGAATTCTGGGAGCAAAATTAGGTCTTTCATTTGCTTTGTTGAGTACTCAAAGCATAGTTTGAGTAAATCCTGATAATGTGGGTAGTTCTTTCTCAGGAAATTTATTTTGTC